GCAGGTCTGCCTTCAGATCGGGTGATGCACAGGCCTACACCTTATCCAGGGCCAACCTGAGGAGGGGCATTAAGCAGGCCAAGCACTGCTACAAGCTAAAGATTGAGGAACACTTCACAAACTCTGACCCCCAAATGTATGTGGAAGGGCATCTAAGTCATCAGTGACTACAAGCCCAGCAACTCCACCCTAACAGCCACAGATGTCTCCTTCCTCAACAAGCTAAATGACTTCTATGCTCACTTCGACTGGGACAACAAGAAGACAGCTCCAGACCCTCTGCAGACCACCAGCCACTCGCACTCACCTCCACTGATGTGTACGCTCCACTGAGCCAGATCAATGTACGCAAAGCTGCTGGCCCTGATGGCATACCTGGACACATGCTCAGGGCATGTGCAGAACAGCTTGTTGGCGTCTTTATTGACATTTTTAATTGCCCAAGCAGTTGTGCTGACATGCTTCAAAACCACCTCCATTGTGCCAGTGCCAAAACACTCCACCCCGACGTGCCTGAATGACTACCGCCCTGTAGCACTCACACCCATTGTCATGAAGTGCTTCGAGCGCCTGATCCTGGCATGCCTGATGACCTGTCTCCCACCCACACTGGACCCCCACCAATTTGCCTACCTAAGGAATAGGAGCACAGAGGATACAGTCTCCATAGTACTACACTCTGTACTCAGACATCTGGACAATAACACTTATGCAAGAATGCTGTTTGTGGACTTCAGCTCAGCATTTAACACAGTCATTCCCTCCAAGTTAACCACCAAACTTGGTGACCTGGGCATTAGCACCTCCCTCTGCAACTGGATTCTGGACTTTCTGACCAGCAGGCCTCAGCATGTTAGGTCAGACAACACCTGCTCCTCCACCATCATCCTCAACACCGGGGTACCACAGGGCTGTGTGCTGAGCCCATTCCTCTAATCCCTTTTCACCCACGACTGCAGGCCTGTGCATGGCTCCAACACCATCATCAAGTTTACAGATGACACCATAGTGATGAGTAGCATCAGTGACAATGAGTCAGCCTACAGGGAGGAGGTACAGCACCTGGCTGTGTGGTGCGCTGACAACAACCTGCTCCTTAACACTGACAAGACCAAGGAGCTCATTGTGGAGTGCAGGAGGGAGAAAGGAGACACACACGACCCCATCCATATTAATGCGATGGTTGTTGAATGTGTTTTAAAATTCCTGGGACACCTCAGAGGATCTGTCCTGGAACACCAGCACCTGCAGCCTGGATAAGAAGGCTCATCAGTGCCTCTTCTTCCTGAGGACACTGAAGAAGAACCACCTGTCTTCAGCCATCCTGGTGAACTTCTTCCACTGTGCCATCGGGAACATCCTGACCAGCTGTAACAGTCTGGTATGGAAACTGCTCTGTTTCCGACTGCAAGGCCTTGCAGCGGGTGGGTGAGAATGGTTCCCACTAGGCAGACACAGTTTTCTATTACTATTAAAAGAAATGATCCACAGTGTCACATGCTGCACTAAGATCTAATAACATCAATACTGTTAAGTTCTTCAAATCATTATTCAAGTGATAATTTAAAATCTTTATGAGAGCAGTTTCCGTGCTATGGTACAACCGGAAACCAGCCATCAACCTAACTGTTATTATTATTATTATTATTATTAAGGATATCATTTGTTTGCAAGAAGTCATTGATTTGGTGAAAAACTTTCTCAGTAATCTTGCTTACAAAGGGAAAATATGAGATGGGCTTGTAGTTTCTTTATACTGAAGTGTCCAGGTTTCTCTTTTTCAGGAGAAGTCTTAACTGCAGTTTTTATTGATGCTGGAAAGATGTCTGATAAGAGTGAATCATTTACAATATACAACAAATCAACTGCCAGAGAGCTATAAACACTTTTTAAGAAGCTTGTTGGTAGAATATCTAATGAGCACATAGATCTTTTTAAAATGCTGCACCATTTCTTCTAGAGTTTAGTTGTTAATTGCAGGGAATTCAGGCCTTTGTTTTTTGTACATGGTGATGTCACATTGTCTGCTCGGCTGTGCTTGTCTGATATTTTCAGTTTTTTTGATGAAAAAAATGTGCGAACTTGTTACATTTTTTTAGCCATCAGGAACTAAATATAAACAGGTGTTTATATCAATTGTTATATCAGTCCTACTGAGCACACCGGTCTTTTTTAAAGGTCAAATGTCAAGGTCAAAGTGCTTTTGTCATATGCACAATTAGGAAACGTGTTTCCCTGTACAAGCAAATTCTTACTTTGCCATCCACATGAATGCCACACAATACAAGTTAAATATAAAGTGAAATATAAAGTAGATGAGCAATAACACAAATCTAAATAGGCAGTAAAATCACAAATCTAAGGCACTTTAAAGCAGCAAGTGAAGGGAGCAAATAAAAATAAAAACACAATATAATGCAGAGAGAATATATGCTACATGGGAGCCATGGAGTGTAAATACTCAGCAGTGAGTGTGCAATTATGCATGTGCAAAATGAGTATGTAAACAGGACAGAGGGAACTACATGAGGTAGATCCTGAGTCATCTGTTTAAGAGTCTGATGGCAGTCGGAAAGAAAGAGTTTCTCTGTCGACCGACGCCAGAACAATAGGCGTCAGTCGACAGGGGAGGATTCAAAGATGGGTAACAACTCTCAACTCTCTCTGGGCTACAACGACTCAGTCGGACATTGTTGGCCTTCAAAGGACTGAAACACCACCGAGGGGGATAAATATCTCCGGCTGAACACCAGGCAGTCAGAACTGATGAAGCCTCTTGGATGAGAGGTGAAACGTCTTCGACCTAGAACTCTAGTCCAGTTGATTTTTTCTAAGTTTTTTCAGCATACACAGTTGTAGTGATACTACCCAGGAGTCTTTTGTTGTATACTGTAGTAAATATCAGATTAGACTTGTGTCAGTAAATTCTCAGTTTTAAAAGACTGGATGTGTTTATCTGTGTCCAACAGGTTGACAAGAGGCGAGCATGGGAGATGATGTACAGGGAGAAACCTGACATAGTGATGGACCGTGAAACTGAAAAGGCTCTACAGAGAATTGCTACCAGGTTTCTACTCCCTTTACCATGAGGCTTTGTTTAACATTGCTAGAATTAAGTGTCATTACTGATTCTGTGGTGTATTTTTCTACTCAGAGGGGTGGTTCAGCTATTCAATGCTGTAAGGAAACACCAGAAAACAATGGATGACAAGGTGAAAGAAGTCGGTGGCTTAGAGAGAAAGAAGGCCAGGATTCTTTCTTCTGTCTCTAAGAAAGACTTCATCGATGTGCTGAGGAGGACAGCAGGGGGTGAGGGACAGACCAGCAAGATTGAAAAGGACACTGTGAGTTCAGTCATGTCTGTGTTCATGTATTGATTTTGGAAGTTTGACATACTGTATTGACCTAAATTAAATACACTGCTTTATGACAATACTACTGGTAAAATGAGTAGAAACCATCCATCTATTGTTTTCCTATGGAGAAATAATAGTGGGTTTTCAATGAGATACGGTAAAATGTTTGATTAATTATATGTGTACTGTTTTTAAGCGTATGATTTGTATTCATATAAAACCAGATACTACACTGCAGTCACAGCAACTGCAGATGATAAATAGCTTGTCAGTGTGTCCATTATGGGTTTGCTGCTTCACTCTGTTAGTGCTGTTTAAGTCATCGTGCTTAATGTTGAGTGAGAGAAAAACCAGACTTCACCGTTTCATCTTACAGAATGTTGAACAGGGTGACCTTTTCCCGACATTGGTTAACAAATTGTGATTTCACTTATTGCTCACCTGGTGTCACTGTTGCCTCATGAAAAGACCACAGAGCCATGGAGCTGAACTGGAAGCATTCACTTCAGTGCAGGAAGTGAGTGTTGTAGTCTAATTTGCTGTGTGTGTGTGTGTGCACAGGCTGCTTCAGCAGAGGAGAAGCCCATCTGGGGCGTCCTCAGAGATGACTTCATGATTGGAGCCACTATGAAAGACTGGGACAAAGAGAGTGACAGAGAGGAGGTTGATGCTGATCCACCCACAGGAGAGGGCCTGGAGGAAAGTGATTCAGACTGACACTATCCATACTGACTGAAGGGACTGTGTAGAGACAGTCTGGGGATACAGGAAGAGAAGCCCTGAGCAGTACAGAAGAGCCTCATACGCCTGCATCTCAAAATGTTTTTACATCATGTCACACTGTGACATTATTGCTGAATATATTGTACAAAAATGTCACACTTTAGTGATTCTAAATCTTTGTATACTCTAAAGTGAAAATAAATATGTTGAAACAATATCTAACAAGGATATTGGGTGGAAAATATCAAAAAAGCTACTCACTACAGTATTGTTCAAAATAATAGCAGTACAATGTGACTAACCAGAATAATCCAGGTTTTTAGTATATTTTTTATTGCTACATGGCAAACAAGTTACCAGTAGGTGCAGTAGATTCTCAGAAAGCAAACAAGACCCAGCATTCATGATATGCACGCTCTTAAGGCTGTGCAATTGGGCAATTAGTTGAAAGGGGTGTGTTCAAAAAAATAGCAGTGTCTGCCGTTGACTGTACAAACACAAAACTATGTTGTACAAACGTTTTTGTTTCTAGGATTTAGCAATCCTGTGAATCACTAAACTAATATTTAGTTGTATGACCACAGTTTGTTATAACTGCTTCACATCTGTGTGGCATGGAGTCAACCAACTTGTGGCACCTTTCAGCTGTTATTACACTCCATGATTCTTTAACAACATTCCACAATTCATTTACATTTCTTGGTTTTGCTTCAGAAACAGCATTTTTGATATCGCTAATCTATTTTCAAGAATCCCCCGCAAAGTCCCTCTGTTAAAAAAAAGGCACGTGCAGAAGAGGTTACAATTTGCCAAAGAACACGTCAACTGGCCTAAAGAGAAATGGAGGAACATTTTGTGGACTGATGAGAGTAAAATTGTTCTTTTTGGGTCCAAGGGCTACAGACAGTTTGTGAGACGACCCCCAAACTCTGAATTCAAGCCACAGTACACAGTGAAGACAGTGAAGCATGGTGGTGCAAGCATCATGATATGGGCATGTTTCTCCTACTATGGTGTTGGGCCTATTTATCGCATACCAGGGATCATGGATCAGTTTGCATATGTCAAAATACTTGAAGAGGTCATGTTGCCTTATGCTGAAGAGGACATGCCCTTGAAATGGTTGTTTCAACAAGACAATGACCCCAAACACACTAGTAAACGAGCAAAGTCTTGGTTCCAAACCAACAAAATTAATGTTATGGAGTGGCCAGCCCAATCCCCGGACCTTAATCCAATCGAGAACTTGTGGGGTGATATCAAAAATGCTGTTTCTGAAGCAAAACCAAGAAATGTAAATGAATTGTGGAATGTTGTTAAAGAATCATGGAGTGTAATAACAGCTGAAAGGTGCCACAAGTTGGTTGACTCCATGCCACACAGATGTGAAGCAGTTATAACAAACTGTGGTCATACAACTAAATATTAGTTTAGTGATTCACAGGATTGCTAAATCCTAGAAACAAAAACGTTTGTACAACATAGTTTTGTGTTTGTACAGTCAACGGCAGACACTGCTATTTTTTTGAACACACCCCTTTCAACTAATTGCCCAATTTCACAGCCTTAAGAGCGTGCATATCATGAATGCTGGGTCTTGTTTGCTTTCTGAGAATCTACTGCACCTACTGGTAACTTGTTTGCCATGTAGCAATAAAAAATATACTAAAAACCTGGATTATTCTGGTTAGTCACATTGTACTGCTATTATTTTGAACAATACTGTATGTGGACCTGCCTTCCATCATGGAGTCAGCATTAGTTTGCTTCCATTTAATGTATAAACTCTTTGTTGATTGAATGACCCATGATGGTGTGAATTTTGTAAATGCAAATGTTTTGAACAGTGGTGTTTGAATAAGCAGACAGTTCATGTTATCACCTACAGTGCTCTGTACTCTTTTGTAGACTGGACTTGTCTGCTCATCAAACATCAGAGCTTCCAGAAGGTGCAGTCATTTCCTGAACCAGCTGCTCACAGTAGCTTTTAACCAACAAACAGGGGTAGTGAGTGAGTATTTGTGGCAGCAGGATAGCGAATGTGGTACTGAGTTAAAATAAACTACAGTCTGTGTGTTCATGGTAATGAAAGAACATGTCAGTCAGTGCAACAGTGTGGCTCACTGATGTGGTGTTCATAGCTTTTGGACAAAAGTGGGATTGCATGGCCTGTGACCTACAGGAAAGAATGATTTAGGCACCCTGTTTACACCCAGACCATAAGCAGTGGCAACACGGTGCTAATGAAGGTTTGGCCCTGCAAAACTCTTCCATGCTCATGTTTGGGTCACAAATGTGCTATTTGTTTTGATGAGATGTTAAAATGAGCAGGAGAAAATGTTGCACAGCTTCCATGCTGAATGAAATGAGCTCCTGGGTGTCGGGCTCAGTGCAAAACAGGTTGGGGCTATGTGTGTGTATGTTTTTAACCTCCAGTGGCATAACCTCTTCTCCTGCTGCAGTTAAGTTGTGTGTGATTAAGGATGCTAGCCTGATGCGTAGTTACTGAATAAACTGTTCAGTCCTTATGATCCTTATGTTCTTCCTGTTGGCTGCTTCAGCAGTTTTCCTTGTGTGGAGCAGGTGTTGAGACATTTACCCCGAGACACACCCCCAAAAACACACTTCATCTTGTCTCACATCTGTCTGTGCGGGTGCTGATTTAGTGACCTCATCTGCTTTGCAGAAGCTTGTGGGTGCAGAGACTCTGAGAATGGCTGTCAGGCCTGATCGATGACTGGCTTTGGTCAGAGGGCCAACACCAGGTCTTGAAAAATAAAGAAAAAATGTTGATTTTTTTTTTTGTGAAGGCAAGTTAAGGCAGAAGGCTGCCCACCAAGAGCCAGGGTTTGTTGGAGATTTCTTCTGTTAAAGGGAGTTTTTCTTCCCCACTGTTGCCAAGTGTTTACTCAAGGGTAACGCAAATAATAAGTTTAATAGCTCCTCAGGATTCATGTAAGAGGCGACATCATCCACCAAATACAGACCGGAGTTTTCAAAATGAATAGAAAACTCTCCTGCTGTAAAAGAAGTGACAGTATGCCTAAAAGCGGCAGGAGTAAAAGGTTTGTCTACCAGTGACAGAGCAGCAACATTGAATAAAACAGGCAAGTGATCCGAAAACCAAGAGTCACATATTTCGGTAATGGAAACAGGCAGTCCATGAGAGATCACAGGGTCCAGTGTGTGTCTGAGCTCATGTGTAGGGCCATGTACTGACTGAGTGAGGTTAAAAGAGTCAATATTTAAAAAGTCTTTGGACAATGGGTCATCAGGACAGCAGATGTGGATGTTAAAATCACCAAGTATTAAAAGCTTATCAAACTTTGGCAGGATAAAACCCAAGAGGTCAGAAAACTCCTGAATAACTCCCTTGTTGAATTTAGGAGGATGATAAACCACTGCACACAGCAGTGGATAAGAGAGCTCCACCACAAACAGCTGTAGCTCAGAAGTGGAGTAGGAGTCCACTGTGAGCTGCCGACATTTAAAACTTTTTAAAAACTGATGCCAGGCCGCTGCCCCTGCCTCATGTGTGCGGTGAACTAAAGGAGTAATCCGGTGGGAGAAGTTCAGAAAATACATAATGCTCACCTTCCTTTAGCCAGGTCTCGGTCAGCAACATAAAATCCAGTTCCCGCAATATGAAAAAGTCATTTAAAATAAAAGTCTTGTTAGCCAGAGACCTGGCGTTAATCAAACCCATTCGGATCAATGAAGCAGAGTTCGGTAGCTGGGAAGAACGTCTCACTGATCAGAGGTTGGACCAGTTTATACCTCTTCTCAGGCGTTGTGGAAACCGGTAACACGTAAGAGGTGCCGAGAAGTCCAGACCAATGGGCCGAAGGTAAGCGTAGGTAAAGCCAGTAGGAGCCGAACGCCAAAGGGCCTTGAGCCTGACAGCCACTCCTCCCCTCATCTCTTAGGCCGCTTCCTTCACGGGCAAACAGAGTAAGGACGGCAAAGGTAAGTCGGTACCTTCGCCAGTGGCAGTGGGAGAGACTTTGCATGATCCCAGCCTACACTGGGGCACTTTTCCATGGACAATCAAATAAACCAACTCCACTGTACCAGAAAACCTGAGTTAAACCCAAAGAAATCTGGATAACCCACTAATCTCACTTTGTGGTACAGGGTCCTAATGTTGAAGAGCTGACATACACTACAGCCAATAAGCCTAATGGAGCTGCCTGATGTTTAAGACTCCAATACAATAGCATTCAGCACTTGGGCTGACAGTGTTGTTAATGGGACATGTAGTGGTACAGAGATGGTGGTGTTCTCCCACCTCCTATCAGATTTTCAGGCCATGACTTGAATAAGACAAAATCAAGTTAAACAATGATCAATTATATTTTTCTCTCCTGACACTATTAAATATTCAATTAAAGGGCTGCCATAATTGAAACCTTTTTTAAAGGACTTTATAGAGTCACAAAGTCCTCATTTAGTGGAGGTTGGGGTGGCTGATACATGAATCATAGGACTTTTCCCCAGGTTAGTAATGGTCAGTTCCAGTGTGTAACTTGTTTTTTTGCCTAACCAAGTAGTGTTTGTTCTTCAGTCTAACCACGTAGTTTGTAGTAGATGCTTTTATGGGTCATATAAGAAGGAAAGTACAAATGACCATATGGTTCATATACATATGGCAGCGTCATCATATAAGCACCATTCATCTACACAGAGAAATGACACCTCTCAACAAATAAAAGATGCTCAGAGACTTTTTAGAAGACCAGTTCCTACGTATGTGCGAGAATGTTACATTCTGTTGGCACTATATGGTAAATTGTTTACAAAAACTATGGTTCAGTTTTACGTATTAGAATCTTCTCTCTGTCAGATTTGGATCCATAGTCAGAGTACTGCTAAAACAATACACTGTATTAAAAAATCAGGCCACATTTTATCCCTTTCTTCAGTGGTTAAAGTTGAAATATCATTGAACACAAGTCTCACCTGTCTCATCCCCTCTGAGAGGAAATGCCCTTTAAAAGAAGATGTAAATAACTTGATTTTAAATCTATGGAGGTATAACGGTACAGTATACATGAATGGTAAAATCTGGCACTTTAGGGCAAGACTGAAACCCAGCAGGGCAAGTGGGCAACTGTCCTAGGCCCCCAGAATTCCTCATTGCAATTTAATTGAAAATTGAACCAGTAATATGTATTAAACCTCATATCACCTGGCAGGGCTTTAAGGTGGACTGTGCCCTTACTGCCATGTGTAAAGACTGTTCTAAGACCTTGCTTGTACTTGTGTGCATCAAAGACAAAAATTAATGTGCCTCATTAAGGTACCACATACCATGAGAGAAAAACTGTATACACCCGACAGAGTGCATTAGTGGAACCAAGAGGGTGACCAGTGCCACCCCTGGCCACCCCCAGAATCTGATTGGCCACCTATGGTGCCACCCTTGCCAGAGTCAAAATGTGATGCTCATCAGTGTTAATGAATGAAAAGGAAAAACAATGAAAAATTGTTGCCTTAAATACAATTAACATTTTTCTGGTGCTTTATAATTGATAATTGTCACATTTTTCAGAATCTGCTTTATTGGCCAGGTGTGTCAGACAGACGAGGTATGTGTTTTATTTTATATCATGTATGCAGATATTTGCATTCATTTCTCTAACTGTGTTATTGTGGATTACTTGTGCTCAGTGGAACGGGAACCACTGTGCAGCAGCGATATTCCCAGCCCAGGAGTAAATAAGGAGCCCAGCCAAAATTAGCTAAAGAAAGCACTATGTGTGCCTCATTTTCACATAAAATAAGCAATTTAATTCTTAGTAATGTATTATTTATTACTTCATTCAACTATGGGCTTAATTTACTTTTTACGTGTATTTCCAATGTGCTACCACTCTATGAGTTTGTGCTCCAGCCTGGCCACCCTGTCCAAAATGCTTTAGATCCATTCCTGACAGAGAGCAGGAGGATAGGGGAGGCACCATGAAGCAGATTATCCAGCCATGCTAAAAGGTACTATTGTTTTTTTTTTTTTGGTTCTTTGCTTTTTTGTTGTTGTTGTTTTACTTATTTCCCTTTATTTATGCAATGGTTTCATTAATAGGCATTGCTGAATGTTGTTTATTCATCTTACATTATGAGCTCACCAAATCAATTTCCCAATGAACATTTGTTGTGAAGTTAATTCATAAACACACCTCTAATGACAGTGCACTTTTTAAATAGATTTAATTAGCCTGAAAATAAACTAAAGAACATTACTGAGTAAATAACTAAAGATTAAGTTGATAATAACAAAGGAATTTGTAACACAAATACCAACCTCTAATGAGTCAAAGTTTTAGAAAACAGATGTTTTTGTAGAAATTTTGAAAAAAGCTTCAAGCACTGACCGACTTTAGGACCCTGCTCCACAACGCACCCGGGGCCGATGAGCTATTGGCCATTGCAGCGCTGTTCCAGTGGGCACAGCTAGCACTGCTATTTACAATAAATCGTGGGGTATCCTGACGTGGAATTGCAGGGATCCCCTACTGCTACGGTGATGGTCACAACTTCGATTTGAAGCCGGCGTAGGGGGCACCACGTGATAATTTACTTTTATGAAGTCCGGTTGGCACGCGTAAAAGACGAGCCGTTCCATAATTAGCTGGCGTAAGGGAAGACCTGTAAAAGTATTCCTCATTCGCAGCTAAGGCAAACTCCGAGCTGTTTTAGCTTAACGGAGCTACTTTTAAAATACTTTTTCCATCGTGAAGTCATAGCATTCTATGGATTGTTGATTTTACTTTAATGCACCAGCCAATCTTGGAAAAGTTCGCACCTTGCGTCCCTGGAACTTGGTTGAGTTTTTACGTTTTTTAAACAACATTGTGAAGTGTCTGGAGAATAGCAAAGCAAGGAATCATATCGAGACACTTACGTTTGATAGACAGAAACCTAGGATCTCGGACTGGTGTTGGCTGAAGCGCGGTGGAGAGCTGTGAGCTGAGCGTTCTGCTCTGTGAAGGTGTGCTCGGGTCCACAGGCTACACAGCTGTGCGTCCCTCCGACGATAAACTCGCTGCTGTTTTTAACTCTCCCGCTTTCATCCACATCTTTGGAATCCGTTTGATGGCAGCACTTCTAGCTCGGGGAACACTGAGCTGCATCTTTACCACTTTCGCTGTGTGTTTACCGACAGCGGGGAGTAAATCCGTGCGATCTCCCCGAATAACGGATCTCTTTGTGTGATGAGAGAGTTGAATGGATTTTCAGGTACTCTTTACTGAAACTAGGAAGTCAGAACCATGCGATTTTCAGTTAACATTTCGGGACCACTTGACTTGTATGCGTAAATGCCCTCCACTTTGATTTTTGCCCAAGAAATGAGTCTGTCTGATATTTAGATCACTTCAGTGAATGTTTTCTAGATATTTTTTTTAGATTTGAACTCACTGGAGGAGACGATGAACCTGTGTGTCGTCAGTCTTTTCCTCATCTTGGACTTTGCCACCATGGCGCTAAGTTTGTCCACATGCAGCACGCTGGACATGGATCAATTCAAGAAGAAGCGCATCGAAGCTATTAAAGGGCAAATTCTGAGTAAGCTGAAGCTTACCAGCCCCCCGGAGAACTTCCCGGAGCCAGAGGAAGTGTCTCGCGACATTGTCGCCATTTACAACAGCACCCGGGACCTACTGCAGGAGAAGGCGAATGAACGGGCGGCGACGTGCGAGCGGCAGCGAAGCGAGGAGGAGTATTACGCCAAGGAGGTGCACAAGATCGACATGCAGCCCTTCTACCCGTCAGAGAGTGAGTATACGCTATGTGTGTTTGTGCATGGTCACGTGAGCTTGTGATTGTTTTGGGAAATCTGTCGTCATGCACTACTGCATGAGTATGGGAGAAAGGAATTGGAGTTGAACTGTAGTTCTCAGATATCAACAGCTTCTCCCCTTCAAACTTAGAGTGCAGTAGAACTCTGGCGCATCAGGGGGGAAGCTGTGAGTTGTTCCTGTTATTGTGTGGATGCTGTAAACCATCCACACTATGCTCTCCTGTTCTTTATTGTGTGGATGCTGTGAAGCACCCACACTATGTTAGCCTAGTCTTTATTGTGTGGATGCTGTAAATTGATAACACTATTTTATCCAATTATTGTGTGGATGAGGTAATGCATCCACAGTATGTTATCCTAATCTTTATTATTGTGTGGATGAGGGAATGCATCCACAGTATGTTATTCTAATCTTTATTGTGTGGATGCTGTAAAGCACCCACAGTATGTAATCCTATTCTTTATTATTGTGTGAATGCTATGCAGCCACATTCTTGTTTTCCGTTTCTATTGTATGGATGCTGATTCAGCCTCCAAACTATGTTCTCCAATTATTGTCTGGAGGCTGATTCAGCATCCACACAACCATGTTTTCCTGGTATTGTGTGGATGCTGATTCAGCATACAATAAACAGTATGGTTTCCCGGTCTTTCTTTATTGTATGGATGCTGAGTCAGCATACAATAAAGACCAGGGAAACATGGTATGGATGCTGATTCAGCATCCATACTATGTTCTCCAGTTATTGTATGGATGCTGATTTAGCATCCATACAATAAAGAAAAACCCGGCCGGGAAACCATACTGTGGATGCTGAATCAGCATCCACACAATAATTGGAAAACATAGTGTGCTATAGCTATTGAAATGTTCAGCTCTTCAAGTGGAACTGAAACAAATGGTCAAATCATTGATAAACAGGAAATTAACCTGTGATCAAATTTATTGTTGCCCTTTTGAAGCAAACTGCCAAATGGCTACACTCTAGCCAACTTCATATTTCTGAGAATTTGCTGATTGTCATTATCTTAGTAAAATAAATGTAAATTTTTCACATGCAAGTTCATAGACCAAACATTTATTCATGAGAACACCTATAAATGCTAAATGGTCTTATACTTGTATAGCACTTTTCTATGCTTTAGAGCACATTCAAAGAGCTTTCACAATACTTGGCCAGTCACACCTGTCCAATTGTTATACAATTATTTACCGATTAAAATCATTAGTTTTAACCCTAACAGGAATATCATAGAGACTAGATCTGAATCAATTTGTTGTTAAATTGAATAGTAATCAATTTATTATAATTAATTTCACAAGGAATAAATAAGAAACATTCTCTGGTTCCACCTTTCAAAAAGGTGCGAACTTTTCTGTTTTATATCTCCAGATTTAACTGTTGGTCAGACAGAAATATTTAAAGACATCATCTTTAACTCCGAGATGCTAGTGAAGGCCATTGTTTATATTTTCTGATATTTTAGAAACGACAATAAACTGTCAAGTAGCCAAAACTGAGACTAGAGCTTAAACATCAATTCAGAATAAGTTCACTGTAAACTATATACTGAGTACCATTAGGCATGTAGTTTTCACAATAGACACCTTAAACAAGTCTTGACATAACACTAACAGGTATTAATAAAGAGCATACCAATGTCAACAGATTTACAAAACGTGACGAAACACCTACACTTGTACTTCTCTACCCTGCTGCACATGGAAGGAGGAGCCCAGCTGAGATGCTGTTATTTTTTTCCTCCTCCCACAATTTCTTGGGTTCCTGGTCGTAAAGTACCGCCCCCAACTCACCCGTTATGACACCAGCCAATGAGAGCACGGCACACCTCGTGTCCGGCTGTTGCAGCCAATCGCAGCACGAGAATCTCTACCATCTGCATAGTCAGTTTTTTCATGACTGACTAGACACACAAAACCATCATGACTACTATATCCGCAGAGGAGACGTGTATAATAGCTAACAAATAACAAAGCCGAATGATTAGTCATTATCACCTGATCATATTGTGGCAGTGGCAATTATAGAAAAGTATAGTTTATTTGCCTTAAATGCTTTAAAATTGTACAGTTTACTGATTAGTAAATAAACACCATATTGATTTCCAGACATTTAGTTAGCATACATACATGTTTGATTGTTAATCACTCTTAATTTATGGTTTTCTCTTTATATGTAAAAGCACCTGCCCTGTAGTCCTTTCCCTCCCACATTCCTTTGTCCTAAACTTAGCAACAAACTACAGATCATTGGCCACACTGTTGATAAAAGATTTTTTCATTAAGCATGTTGTCTGCTCACCTGCCCCTGTTCCACAGCAAGGTGGGATCCACCAAGCAGAGGAAAATAAAGTTGTCATCACTTCCTCGGGAAACAAGGTGACATTTCTTTGTATCTGCAGCAAGTTGAGCACCAGGGCGAGAAACACTCCGACTGTGAAGAGAACGAGTCCGCGGCGGATCAGGTTGACCGTCCGGACATTGTGCAGGGATTTGTAGGCACTGCTGAGCACCGAAGTGATGATGGACATCATTTCTTCTGTTTTAGATGTCAATAAACTCGCTCCAGATGATGACTGCTTGGTTTCAACAACTGATGCACAGGAGCAGCTCCAGCAGTGGTTCTCTTGTCTTAGCATTTGGCACTTTTGGGCTAAAGGAGAAGAAACTGTCATGAAATTAGATACATATTTTGCAACAAAATAGATACATTTGTTTCACAAGTATAGAATTCACTCTTGCAGAGTGAGAGATAAAGTTTTCCGGATTAAGTTAAAACGATGACAAAATACTGTGGTCATTGCTGCTTACCTTGCTCCCCAGACGTCTTCAGGGTCTGGTCCGAAGAGAAACCTCCACTCTTGTTCATTCGCGCCTCCACATATGTAATTAAGCCGAGATCCCCTTTTCACAACAAAGACTGCAATCACGTTGTTTGTTCACATCACTGTTAGCAGACACAGAGAGTAAAAAAACACACTCCGAGTCCATACCACAGTACAGAGCTCCTACCAGCGAGAAGCGCTTCCTTTGCAGACAACAATCTCAGCTGTGTCGGGTGAGGATCGGTAGCCAATCAGAGCGCGGTGGCTGATATGACGTGCGCCTCGGCCCCGCCCATTGCCCGGGAAAGATGCACAGACAGAGCTGAAATGAAACTGGGATCAACTACTTTAATCGGCAGTAAAATATATATAGCTCTTACTGTAAAGAGTCAGGAAGAGCTATAATGATAGATACAAGAACGCTGGCTATTATAATTCCAAAATGTAAGTAAAGAGTCAGGAAGAGCTATAACGATAGATACAAGAATGCTGGCTATTATAATTCCAAAATGTAAGAGCTATAAAGAAGTAAAACAGACAATAGTCGTTATGAATTGATAGCTGAAATCCATAGCTGAATAATGTATCCATTACTTGGATATTAGCATATGTGTTTACCAGGTTAAAATTAGAGCACAAACTTGATACCCAAACCTTTACAGATGGTCTTAAATAGATAGACAGCCATGTAGTTTGATAAAAGCTGTCTTCCTGTCTAACTAGCCTATACCAGCAGGTGACACCACATAAACTCCACTCCTGCACAAGAAACTTTATATAGTCTATGCAGCTTTTGGGAAATGGGCTTAGTGGCACAACCTTTTTTTCTGATGTTGCTAAAATGTTGTTGAACTTTGGGTCAGGTTAAACAAGGAGTGTTCAGGAACATGGGACCCCTGCACGTAAGAGACAGGACAGGAACATTATCGCATGTTTTGCAAGAACTTGTGTCACTCAGCCAGGTGTCTATAGGGCAGTGTGATAACAAACCCCCACCCATTGTGCAGCCTACGTGCAGCAAAAACACAACTTGCTTTGTGCCTAAGGACATGTAGCTAACCTACAGTGAACTATAGAACCCTTTGAAAATGAACCGCATCTACACAACGGACCTACAGTACATTATGAAAACTCACAGCTATGCATTTGTTCAGCAGTTGTGTGGTGCTAAAATGAGGGTCTAAAGTGGAGGCTGGCCATGGGTTGTCACTCATTGTTCAAAGCCAGAACCCTGGAGTTCCCAAATGTTTTTCCACCACCCAGCTTAACTTGCCCTGTAGTTTGAGAACCACTGCCTTAACCTAACTGCTGATTGTCCCTTAACTTTCCAGGTAGCACCATAATTACTGTAGGTGAAACTTACAATTTGTCCAGTTTGGTTTACAGCTAAGTTAATGATGTTCCCATGAGACTCAGCTGCACTTTATTCCATCAACTTTCATATTACATGTTAATAACCATGCCATCACACAATTTTAAAGCTAAAGCAGCATTTGTAGTTTCACTAAAGCGGTTTCAGAATGAGTTTTAAATGTTAGGCTATTACAAACACAGTGGCTTTAAAGTCATCTTTAAGGTGTTACAGTTTCCAGACAGCACATCCATATGACAAAGTTTAAATTGGTTCCACTTGAATTGAATGGGAAAATGCCATTTCTGAAATGGCAGTGATAACAATGCTTAAATATATGTGTCACAGTTGCCCTTTATTGGAGCTGTCTCACTATTTTGATTTTTGTTATATATCCAAGTGGTCCGCTTCGTCTCTCTGAGTTCCTGGTTAAAAGAGCTGGGAAACGCCATTCAGTATCAAAATGTTCAGCTCTTCAAGGACATTCCTACTTGTACTTATTGCATTTCATCCTTCAGATTATTCAACAAAGAACTTCAGTGTGAGGCGTGTTCTTTTTATATTGAAAAGAAGACTAATAAGAGGATATATATATTTCACAGTGTGAAATTTATTATGCATTAATGTATCAAAAATAGAATGTGCACATGGATCTTCACTGTTTAGGATAAACAAAAAAAAAAGACTGTCCTCAACTTGTCGGTATACAATATTTTTATGAAAAGGTGCTACTATCTGATTGGTCAAAAACTGTTGGGGAGAAGCTGTGGTTTAGAC